CTCAGGTGTGTGCCTGCTGTGGGCATTTGGCCCATTCAGTTTAGATAAGAATCTGACTAAAGGCTATTTCTAGTCTACAAGTCTAGGGATAGTTTAAGATCCATTCCCCTTTCCCACCCCTTGACCTTAGGTTGATAATATTGTTCTAATAAGGGTTCATATTGTTCAGTGATCTTCCATTATTATATTCTTGACTAGGTTAGTAAGTGGAATACAAGAACAACATAAAGAGATGGAATATGATTGATAAAAGTTCTAACGGATCAGAATCTGACTAAAGGCTATTTCTATTCTACAAGTCTAAGGATAGATTAAGATCCATTCTCATTTCCCAACCCTTGATCTTAGGTTGATAATGTTGTTCCAATAAAGAGTTCATATTGTTCAGCAATTTTCCATTATTATATTCTCAAATAGATTAGTAAGTAGAATACAAGAAGAACAACATAAAGAGATGTAATGTGGTTGATAAAAGGCCTAATATGTTTATTTTTAATGAAAATCTTATTTGACAAGTTTTCTCATCATTGCCAAGATATTATATCAAATTATATACTTTTTCTTCCCAGTGTAGTGTGACATGGTATGAAAAAAATTATCTCACAGTATTTGAGAACAGGCAAATATTAGATGTGTATCCTACACCAAATATGAAATGATTAAGTACCTGGTAGACTTCCTTTAACTGTATTATTAGATATGTTCCTATGGTTTAAGAGTCTGGAGGTATACTTAGGTAGGGCTGATAAATCTTTTCGAATTTTCTTCAGCGAACCAGAAAGTTTTCAGGATCATCATAGATCAGTGCTATTAGATTATGTTTCAAAGGTGACCTTCATAAATCAAAATTGGAGAGAGCTTCATCTTCACAGCATAAAATTATATAAGCATCTAAACCAAAAGTTTGAAAAGCAAAAAAGGACTGTGAATGTAATCCTTTCTTTTTTTTCTTCAGTGGATGGTAGGAGAACACAAACACCAGAGGCCAAGGAAAGGAGACTGACTTTTGGTGTATGTTTGCTCTGGGCCAGCCTCTATGCAAAGTCCCTGATTACAGGCAAACCTCATTTTGTCACTTTGCTGCATTGCGCTTTGCAGATATTACAAATTACAACAGATGGAAGGTTTGAGGCAACCACGTGTTGAGTAAGACTATCGGCACCATTTTCTCAACAGGCTCAGATGATGATTAGCATTTTATAGCAATAAATTCTTTTTTAATTAAGGTATGTATATTTTTTAGACATAATACTCTTGGGCACTTAATAGACTATGGTGTAGTGTAAAGGTAACTTTTATAGATGCTGGGAAACCACACAACTTGCGTGGCTCACTTTATTTTGATATTCACATTATTGTGGTTGTCTGGAACTGAACCCACATTATTTCTGAGGTATGCTTGTATTTAAATCTTACAAGAATTTGTAGAAGCGAATTATTATTATCCCCAGAGGATTAGACCGACTCAGGCAAGTTAAATAATTTGTTCAATCACACAGCTCCCAACTGGTGGTACCTGCATTCGCACGTGTGTTAGACTCATATAAAAAGTCAAACTTAAACAGCTCCAGAGTGTTGGAATTCCTTAACTTTACCAACCTTTGTCTGGCAAAGCTTTGGCTCTTATCTAATTTCCCAAGATGCATAGCGATTATGTAGGGTTGTTACAGACATGTGGTGTCAATCAGGACCATGAGTTCACCCTACGAGGCATTTCACAGCAAACACTCTGAGGACAGAGTGTGATGTGGTGCCAATCCACAAGAAGGCTGCGCCATCCCATTATTTTTATGATGGTAGGAAATATACGATATGGTCAGATGGAAGTGAATGTTTATTCTTCTACCTATTTTGTCTTTCATGCATTCTAATAAAATACAAATTAATAACTAAGAATTTTAAAGCAAAATGCACATCTATTTAAAAAAAAGAGTGACTTTGTGTATTCTGCTACCAAAAACAAGACTGTTCTTAACATCCTGGAGAGACATTTGTACTTAGTGATTATGTCTTACATTTTCCTTTCTCTTTAGTAGGAAGAAAACCATTAAAGGTTTAGAATTATAAAGCTTCATTTTCTTTAAAACAAAAGTAATCAAAATAAATGGCGTAAGAAAGTGTCATTAGAAGTGACAGGATACATTGCAAATGCCAGCTGGTATCTTTTCTCTAGGGTTAGCAATTGTTGGCCAATTTAGGCTAAAGCTGTAAAAGGAACTCTGTAGGTTAAAGAAAAAAAACCCAAGATGGAGTCAGCCAAGACTCTCTTCTAGGAGCTTAGTGGTGCCTAATGCCATTTAGAATGCCACAGTCCTCAAGAGGTGGGACCATCGCCAGATCCTAGGTGGATGAACTTCAAGGACTGAATTCTCCATGACTGGATATCTGAGAAGTTGTTTTAGGGGGTCTACCACTTCTCCATGACTTTGTAAAATTCCAGAAGAAGGAGAAAGTTTGATCAAATCACTATGAGATGACAACCTAAAGTTTATTGGTTTTTCTTCCCTAATAGTGCCCCTTCATAAATGGCAGATGATAGGGAGAAAGTTTTTTTGGAATTTTCTTTTCAGGGCTACCAAAGAAGGATATTCTGAATTGCCGGGACTAAACAAAAATGCAAAGGAAAGATTTATTTTCTATTTTGTACTTTTGAAAACAAATTTGAAAAACAGAGTAGTGGTACCTATTAAGGACAGATCAAAAGCACACCACTATCAAGTAGGCATACATAATTTTTCAGGGAGAGATGGGCAAAATAAAAATGAAATGATATTTGATGAGGATGATCTCGTAAGTCAAAAATGCCATCCTCCATAAAAAGATGTCAAGTTCTTCAGGGACTTCCTCATAGAAAAATGTTCTTTATCACTCTGTATCAACTTACAATCTATTTTAAATATTTCAGTAAGTTGACCAGAAGCTCTTTCACACTGAGTAATTCTTTTCAAGCTCACTGTCAGAAATAAAATATTTTTAAAAATTGCTTTTCCTTTTTGAGCATTAGGGAGGATGCCCTCTGCATGGAGGCAACCAAGTCCATTTTGGGGGCGTAGACTTACCAAGTCCACAAAGAAAACTCTCCTAGAACAAATGGAGTTAGATTACCTTTGAAGTTTCACCCCAACTTTGAATAGTCACTAATTCCTTTCTTTGCTCTTTTGGTGTTTGCAAAGGGGTTCACTAAAGCCTGAATTGATATAATTATTGGCTCAGATTGTTAGAGATCTAGGCCAGATGGCTATGGATTTCTAAAGTCCCAGTTGCTTCTGGTAGCTTTCCTGGTTTGCCTATAGGGTTTGGAGATCAGCAATTTGAAAGGGCTACAAACTTGCAAAACAGTGTTATTCATGGGGCAGAATGTTCATCAGCGTGACCCAGTACTAAATACATTCATTATAGGCATTTCTATTCTGCACAATTTGCCACACAGCACTGGTTTCTGGAGGGGGAAAAAAGACAATGGCTTATAAAATGCCTCTGAATGCCTAAAAAGAAGGAGAGGTCGTGCTGAGACTCCTCTGCTTTCTTTTTTGGAAAGAACCTTCTTAGTGACTTTAGTTGAGCTCTGCTGAGAGTAAGCAAAGTGGAAAAATCAGAAAATTGCTTTTTTTATATGTTTCTGGGGGGCAAAATAGAGAGTGGGAGAAATAAATGGAAAAAAGTAACAGTGAGATTATGTGAACAGCAGATATGCAAGTGGCTGAAGACAGCTGAGGAATAATGCAAGAGGTATGAAAAAAAAAGTGAGAATAGAGCCGCGGTGATAAACTTAAAAGGGATTGCAGAGCAGAAAGAACATCATAAATAATCATATTTTCAAATAAGAATACCGTATCAGTTCCTGTGACCTGGATAGAGCGCTGCCTCCCATGATATTTCCTAGCATTTTGATGCACACAAAATGCAGTTTTCTGCTCAGGCATTTTCTTCTTCAATGTAAACAAGCTTTGGGTTTTTAAAATACATGTCTGAAAAGTGTCTTCATAAATAATACATATATTATAACAACTTGTCTTGTAAACTATTGAGCCCATGTTCCCCCAACATTCACTCTGACGACCCACCATGGATACAGAGAGTCTTTTGGTAGAAATTGTCATGCTAAAGCATGAAATGTCCCTTCTCCAAGATAAACAGGATTTTTTTTTTTTTAAGTACAAGACAAAGAAATATCATAGCCAATTTTGTCCAAACTCAAGGAAAGAAGTGATGTACAGTATGTTGCTAATTAGTTTGAAATCCTCAGGTGTTTCTTTAAATCTTGCTAATTAAGAGAAATCAAGAGTAAAATATAACCCTTTTCTTATCTTCAAAGAATAAAGATGAAAGAAAAACAGAGAATGAAACATCTTCACTGGTTCTGCCCCTTGAAACACAGCCCCAAGAAAATGTGCTTGTGCTCAGAGAAGGAGAAAGACCCCATATTTGCAGAGGGGGAGGGGAAGGAGGCAGGCCGAGAAGCATAATTAGAAGCAAGTTTTCAAATTTTATTAAATCCCTCCACCAACAACATGCACTTAGAATATTTTAAGTTAAACCAGCACTTAAAGACCATGAAAAACAAGATGATTACATGTTTGTGGAAGTAGAAAGGGCAATTAAGAAAACCAGAACAATTTAAAATGCCATATAAATACAGGCGACCAGAAGTTGATTTAAAGTTTTTTCTTCTGTAATTTGTCTCCCCTTTGTCGTGGCACGCTCGGAGAAAGTGAATGCAAGGGCTGGGGTGGGGGGGCCGGGGGGCGGGGAGGGGGAAGGGGAGGCGCGGTCCAGGGCCGCTTCCCACCCTCCGCTCCCTCCCGCGCCCCCCGGCCCCCGCCTTCCTCCTCCGGGCCCCCTCCCTCTCCTGCCCTCCTCCGCCGCCCGCCCTCGCTCCGGGGACTCCATCAGCTTTTGATTTGGAAGCGCGCTGATTGGCTGGAAGCCGTTCAACACACGCCGGGCCAGAGCGCTTTGTCTGAGTTGAAGTGAAGTTGTACAGATTTTAGGCTGGAGTCAGCAATCACGGGTGTTTAGTCTGCAGCCGAGCCGAGAAAGGGAGCGCGAACCGCCCGCGGAGGAGCCGCCGCAGACCCCGCCGCCGGCACCCTGCCCTGCATGGATTCCGACGGCTGGCGCGGGGCGCCGCGGAGGTGACGCGCCGATTCTGCCTGCACCGCGGCCAGCCGGCCAGGCAGAGGCGAGGGTTGGGGGACTCCATGCCGGGGATATCTGGAAGTCGTGACACGGTGTGTATGCAACAAAAGTTTGCGAGCGGTTAATTGCTGCTGTGTTATTAAGAGGCGCTTTCAAGTTTCAAGTACCAAATGTAGCTTAGCTTTAAGTTGCCAAAGGAAGTTGGGGGAATTGCTTTGCTGTTTTAAGTTGCTTTGCGAGAGGAACCTCATAAACCGACCGATGTACCAAACGAATGCTAAAATGCACTTTAGATTTGTTTTTGCACTCCTGATGGTGTCTTTCAACTCCGATGTGTGGGGCAAGAATTTGAAATACAGGATTTATGAGGAGCAGAGGGTTGGATCGGTAATTGCACGACTATCAGAGGATGTGGCTGATGTTTTAGTGAAGCTACCTTATCCTTCTACTGTGCGTTTTCGAGCCATGCAGAGGGGAAATTCTCCTCTGCTCGTAGTGAATGAGGATAACGGGGAAATCAGCATTGGGGCGAAAATTGACCGGGAACAGCTGTGCCAGAAAAACTTGAACTGTTCCATAGAGTTTGATGTGATCACTCTGCCCACTGAGCATCTGCAGCTTTTCCATATTGAAGTTGAAGTGCTGGATATTAATGACAATGCTCCTCAGTTTTCACGATCTCTCATTCCTATCGAGATCTCAGAGAGTGCGGCCGTTGGGACTCGCATCCCCCTGGACAGTGCATTTGATCCAGATGTTGGGGAGAATTCCCTCCACACGTACTCTCTCTCTGCCAATGATTTTTTTAATATTGAGGTTCGGACCAGGACTGATGGAGCCAAGTATGCAGAACTCATAGTGGTCAGAGAGCTGGATAGGGAGCTGAAGTCGAGCTACGAGCTTCAGCTCACTGCTTCAGACATGGGGGTGCCTCAGAGGTCTGGCTCATCCATACTGAAAATCAGCATTTCCGACTCCAATGACAACAGCCCGGCTTTTGAGCAGCAGTCTTACATAATTCAACTCTTAGAAAACTCCCCCGTTGGCACTTTGCTCCTAGATCTGAATGCCACGGATCCAGATGAGGGCGCCAATGGGAAAATTGTATATTCCTTCAGCAGTCATGTGTCTCCCAAAATTATAGAGACTTTTAAAATTGATTCAGAAAGAGGACATTTGACTCTTTTCAAGCAAGTGGATTATGAAATCACCAAATCCTATGAGATTGATGTTCAGGCTCAAGATTTGGGTCCGAACTCAATCCCGGCTCATTGCAAGATTATAATTAAGGTTGTGGATGTTAATGACAATAAACCTGAAATTAACATAAACCTCATGTCCCCTGGGAAAGAAGAAATATCTTATATTTTTGAAGGGGATCCTGTTGATTCATTTGTTGCTTTGGTCAGGGTTCAGGACAAGGACTCTGGGCTGAATGGAGAAATAGTTTGTAAGCTTCATGGACATGGTCACTTTAAACTTCAGCAGAGTTATGAAAACAACTATTTAATCTTGACGAATGCCACACTGGATAGAGAAAAAAGATCTGAATACAGTTTGACTGTGATTGCTGAGGACAAGGGGACACCCAGTCTCTCCACAGTAAAGCATTTCACTGTTCAAATCAGTGATATAAATGACAATCCTCCCTACTTCCAGAGAAGTCGGTATGAATTAGCAATCTCCGAGAATAACTCGCCGGGGGCATTTATCACCGCTGTTACTGCCACAGACCCTGATGATGGAGAAAATGGGCAAGTTACATACACTATTTTGGAGAGTTTTATCCTGGGAAGTTCCATAACTACATATGTTACCATTGACCCATCGAATGGACACATCTATGCCCTCAGAATTTTTGATCATGAAGAAGTCAGTCAGATAACTTTTGTGGTTGAAGCAAGAGATGGAGGAAGTCCAAAGCAACTTGTGAGCAACACCACCGTTGTGCTCACCATCATTGATGAAAATGACAATGTCCCCGTGGTCATAGGGCCTGCGCTGCGCAATAATACTGCAGAAATCTCCATCCCCAAAGGGGCTGAAAGTGGCTTTCACGTCACAAGAGTAAGGGCAATTGACAGAGACTCTGGTGTGAATGCTGAACTCAGCTGCTCCATAGTAGCAGGAAATGAGGATAATATCTTTATAATTGACCCACGATCATGTGACATCCATACCAATGTGAGCATGGAATCTGTTCCCCACGCAGAGTGGGAGCTCGCAGTTATCATCCAGGACAAAGGCAATCCTCAGCTGCATACCAAAGTCCTTCTGAAGTGTGTGGTCTTTGACTACACAGAGTCAGTGACAAGTACAGCAATGACCCCAGTGAGCCAAGAATCTTTGGATGTCTCCATGATTATAATTATTTCCTTAGGAGCAATTTGTGCAGTGTTGCTGGTTATTATGGTGCTGTTTGCAACCAGGTGTAACCGAGAAAAGAAAGACACAAGATCCTACAACTGCAGGGTGGCAGAATCAACTTACCAGCACCACCCCAAAAGGCCATCCAGGCAGATCCACAAAGGGGACATTACGTTGGTGCCTACCATCAATGGCACTCTACCCATCAGATCTCATCACAGGTCGTCTCCATCTTCATCTCCCACCTTAGAAAGAGGGCAGATGGGCAGCCGGCAGAGTCACAACAGTCACCAGTCCCTCAACAGTTTGGTGACAATCTCATCGAACCACGTGCCAGAAAATTTCTCATTAGAACTCACCCATGCCACTCCTGCGGTTGAGGTAAGATCATCCACTGCACCATTTCACTGACAAAGTAGCTAGCTGTTCAGAAGTTGGGTTAAGGGTTAGTTCTGAAATGTTTCCATTAAGAGGCAACAGTACTAACAATATGCAAATTAAGTAGGGTGCAAGTTGCATTATGTATATGTAGCAAGCTTACAGACCTGAGCATACTGTTTTAATTTTTCCTTAAAGAATCTGCATGCATGTATTATGTAGAATATTGAAAAATAAATGTGAAGCTCACAAAGGACTATCTGATTGGAATCCTCATACTTCCAAGATTAAAATACTGGAAGCCAAATATAAAGGGGTTTTCATTTTGTCATAGGTGTGGTCTGTACTTTAAAAATAATAATAAAAAAAAAAAAGCCCAAACAAACACACAAAACCCTGAGACCTTCAGAATCCTATCTCAGTGCATATTATTTGTTCAGCTTTGGAAAATTTTCTGACATTCTTTTTGCTGCATGTGTTAGAACGTTGTATTTTAGAGTATTTTCTAAGTATTTTTTATAATTGATCACTTTAATCTGAACTATAAAATAAAGGAAATCAGCCTGCTATTTATACCAGAGTCCCCTTTCAAAAAGAAAAAGAAAAATCAGTTGTATAAGATCATTCCAATTTCTCTGGCACATACTCAGTTACAATTGGTGGCTAGCTGCAGAGTCTGCCACAGCTCAGCACATGGAAATCTTTAAAAGACAGAGAGCACGTTGATTGTTTTTTCTTGCTGCAAGCTTGCGAGTGTTGGGGGTTTGTTTCCAGGAATCAGTTCTGTCTGTTTGGTTTCCAGCAGGTCTCCCAGCTCCTTTCAATGCTTCACCAGGGGCAATATCAGCCAAGGCCAAGTTTTCGAGGAAACAAATATTCTAGGAGCTATAGGTATGAATTACCCTTGTGTTGCCTATTAAGTCTCAAATAACATGGATGCTAAAGAATAAAAACTCTCCATGCATTCCCTGATTTATCTTTCTAGATATGCCCTTCAAGACATGGACAAATTTAGCTTGAAAGACAGTGGCCGTGGTGACAGTGAAGCAGGGGACAGTGATTATGATTTAGGGCGAGATTCTCCAATAGACAGGCTGCTGGGCGAAGGATTCAGCGACCTGTTTCTGACAGATGGAAGAATCCCGGCAGGTAAGAGGGGAGTGATAGATGAATCCTTATTTTTCAGATCTGCTATGCCGGTGAAGTGAACAGTTTGCCCCATGCTTATATCCTCTTTGTCCTTTGTACTAAGTCTCTGTCATTTGCACGTATTAGCAATGAACATAGACTGAAACACTTTAAAGTTGTTTTCTTACAATTCATACTGCGCAGTTGGAGAGGAGTAAGCATGAGAGCTTAACCAGCCAAGAAGAAAGGAGCGGGCAGAGGAGGGGAGAAAACCACGTTGCTCTCCTCCTCTCCCTACGCCGTCCAGTACGGCCACAGGACCCTCTTGAGCAACTCTTCACGTAATTACTGGGTGGCTGTTTTCACTCAGACAGCCTGTTTTGGTGCGTGGTGGTGAGCTGGACTGTAATTTGGAGGACACATTTCCTGTGATGGAGACCAACTCACAGAAGCAGAGATGAAAATATTCTAGGAAATGGTATGCTTTAATCACTAAAAATAGGAGAGAGAATACATCTCTGTAGGTGGTATGCATAGAACATTTTCGCCACCTTTCATTTTATGTCTCCACTAGAGTAGAAGAGAAACAGAGCCCAAGGGAGGAATTTATAAGTATGTAGCTGGATGGAGGGGACCCTAGTAAGTTATGAGGCACTTTTTCCTTAGAATCCCTCCTCTCTAATTGTGAGGGAGAAACTCCCTGAACCAACTGGCTACGTACTGACCTGCATCATCGAAGCAACGCTGTGGCTAAAGACTGTAATATTAAATCAAGTCTCAGGAACACATACACATTCCTTTGGCTACTTATGTTTCTAAATTCCACTCGGTGTTGATCTAGCGACTGCTGTTCGGTAAATGAAAGGCGGAAGAAGACTATGTTACCCGTCTGAGTTCATCAAACATCTGTTTTCTAAATACGGATCAGTGAGAGGGTTTTGGAACTAGACATCAGGGAGCTTCGGCGGGCCACAGAAATTTGGGAAAAATCAGTAAACAAGCTCTGCTCTCATAGTGGTAGTAGTGGCGGGGCGGGAGCTGCGGCGGGATTGACATCAGTCGTCGCCGTCACAGGACTGGGAGCCAGCGACGTTCCAGCGCTCAGGCCAGGCCCGCGAGGCGTTCTGCACTTGCAGGCCTTCTCTCCGTGCTGGACGGAGGGATTAGGCGTGGGCTGCGGGAGGGGCGATGGTGAGAGAGACAGAAACTGAAGCGTCTAAAGTTTTAAAAACATGTCCAAAATTAGGCAATTTGTTCACGGGAGAGGTGAGAGCGGAGCCACTCCCCAAACTCTTAAATACTCTTCTACCAAGAGTAACGATCTGAAGGAACAGGTGGTTGCATTTTTAAAAAAAAATGTTAAGAGGCAGTCATTGTTTTAAAGTCTTCTTCCCCTCCATGAAACTGTTAAATGCTGCTTATTTAATGGTTTTCACAGCCCTAGATATTGCGTGTCCAGCAGGATGAGTGCACGGGAAGGATGCACAGTTACACGAAGGGCTGGAATGCACACAAGGGTCTGGGCGCCCGCAGTCTTCCCCGGCATCTGTGTGCTTTGTTTTGTTTTGTTTTTAAATTCAGAGATTTCCTCTACCAATTTCAAGAGAAAGCTCTGAAAATCTGTGGGATATATATGGCTTCAGACAACTTGCTGAAAGAGAATCAGTTTTATTTATTTTTTTGCCCATGAAATGGGTATATGTGTGTGTATACACATATATGTATATGTGTATACACACATATGAATGAAATGGCCAAATTTCTATTATTCTGTTACACTGAAAGAACTCTAATTTTGAATTCTGGTCCCTAATTTTGAGTAACCTGATTTCCCAAATTGCATTATTTTGTAAAACAGAAAAGTCACTTCATAGGCATAATGTCAATATTTCATTATGTGCCTTTTAATTGTATGAAGTCTATTCATTGAAGTTTTAATTTAGCAGCATAAAAAGAGAATAACTGCCCCTTCTTACATTGTCTTGCAATTTGTGGGCTTAAATATTGCCTAAAATCCTTTTAAATTCTGAACTTTAATAGCTAATCATGGTCTTAAGAAACATGGTCTCCTTCTTAAGAAAAGATGAAGGCTTCTCTTGCTCTTTCCTGGATTTTCAAAGTTATCAGCACTAGGTATGTTCATGGCAGCAGGGCTCTCTAATGCTTGAGTTCAAAAATTAAAATAAATGTTAAAGAATAAAGACAGTGGGGAAACAATGGTTAGATATAAAGTCTAGATATTAGTGAGTCTTGTTCAGTAAGTGACTTTAGACCTCTTCCAAGTTACATTGCTTTTTAATGTTAGAGGCTCACTTTATATTATCATTCATAATACCACTTAATATATAGACAGCCTTCAAGAAACGAGTCCGTGTTTAACCCAGCCACACTTAATCCAGGTGTGCGGTGGGAGAGCTCCTTGTTGGTGGACGGTGTTAGATGACCACTGGTTGCGTTACAGCAGGTACATTTCTGCCTGACCTGTTACCTGCCTCCCTGTGGAGTGCGGAAGAAAGGGTTTTTGCAGGCAGGGAGTACTGGGATATCAACAATGACCCACTAAATGTTTTAAGCTTTATTCATCTTTGGCTAGTATAGGAAGAAATGTGCATGGTGAGTACCTATGCAGATATAGCCATCCTTTAATTATGACTATCATTCTGATGATACTTCACCAGTTTTCTCGTTAATTCTTCACCCTGGCAGCTTCTGCCAGCACATTAGGGTATAAAAGTCATGCTTTGTAAACTTATATTCCCAGGAAATACCCCAAGCAGAAAAAAAATTAGTCCATATTTGAATGCCATTAACAGAAAGCAGTGCATTTTTTGAAAGCATGTGTATTTTTAGGACTTACGTGTCTTATTCTTACTGTTTTTCTGCATTAAACTGTGATCAAATATAGATTATATTATGTTGCATTGCCTGCCAACAGGGTCATTTGTGGTCATTTGTTCTATTAATTCCCACAGAGATAGCCTGCATTCGGAGCAGGAAAGTCAGCATACATTTCTGTCTGTTAGCTCATGTTTGTCAACATAGTTTCCCCCTTACTCATTTACCTTTGAACTACATATATTCCTGCAAAATCTCCATTTTTCCAGGCTATTAGCTGGACCAGGGCGATTTACAGCACAAAGTCTTCTGAGGTTGATTCTTGCGATGCCCCTTCCTGGTTGAGCTCATTCCCTTTTCATCAGACTGTCCTCAGGGGTGATTTAATTCAAACACTCCTCCTTAATTCTGAGTTCTCTTCCTTCTCAAGGCTGGTCGTATCCTAGCCCTGATCTCTCTTCCATGGTTGGTTTTACTGTGTAAGCCTATGAACTGGTGATATTCTCTCTCTAGTAACTCCTCCCTTTGCTAAATCTTTCATAGAGCTTGAACAACTTTTCAAACCTTTTTAATGTATATATTTTTTTGTTTAAAAACAATAACTGACTCGTTGCCCATCAATACCTGATGAAACCTATATATACCTTGGCATTGTAAGGCCAATGAAGTCTTCTCCTAGCTTATCAATTCTTAATTGTGGCTTTTTTGTGCCTTCTGCAATGGACAGGGTCATCTCTTCATATAACATACCTATTCTTCGCTCATGCACTTTTCTACCCAAAAATAAAAAATCAAAAAAGTCAATAAAAATAAGGCTTTTGTTCATTTGGTCTGTCTAAATCCTATTTATCTCTCAAATTTTGTTTCAGGTTTCTCTTTAACGACTTCCGCCTCCATGTTCACTATTCTTTTCTTACATGCTCTCAGCATCATGCAGTTGGTGCTCTAACTGAGCATTTATGGCCTCATTTGCTACCCTTCACTCAGAACTCGATCTGAACCATGTGAAGGCAGGGAGCTGTCAGAGCACTTCATATTTGGGAGGCTCTTCCTACACAGCATTTGATCACTCATTAACTACTGGCTTGGTAGAGGTTAAGCACACATTTTTCTTCTAGTATTTCATGCTTGCTTCCTGACCTACCTATACGATTCATAGAGTGTAGGAACAGAATTGATAGTCATGTAGTGGGAAAGAAGAGATCTCTGTTTCCCTCACATCCTCCCCTCCCCAGGGAAAGGAAACCCTTGGCAGTACTTTCCAAGAGGGACAGAGGGATCGGCCGCTTGTACCATTTGCCAACAAGTCCTATACACGGGATGTGGTGTGGAACCTCCATGGCACTGAATTAGGCGTGCACTGAAAATGTTGCCAGTAGTTGAGTCTCCAGGGAAAAGACTGAAAATGGCAATGAACCAGAGAAATAGCTTCATCTGCACCCCTGCCCTTCCGCTTGCATTATTTTTTGCCATCCCTCTCTCCATGAGTGTTTCCTTGTCAATTTTTCTTATTTTCTGAATTTTTAAATTTTTGTGTTAATTTATTATTTTAGAATTGAAGTCCCATTAATTTATTTTGTGAAATTGTAAAATAGCATCCTCTATTTAACACGTCCCTATGACCAAAATTACTTTTGAACAGGATTTATCATTTTAATCACCCAGATTGTATTTTGTGTTACATGTTCATTATATTTGGGGCTCTAGAAGTTTGGTCATGCTCAGGATTCTTAGAAGCATATGTAATTTTTTCCTCCTTTTTCTCCCTCTTTTCATTAAACTTTAGAATAAAAAAGTCAATCAAACAATTAAGTCTTTCCTACAGAGTTAAAGGTCAGAAAATAAATGAAAGGCTCCATCAAGCCTGTTACGCTTCCTCGTAACAGGATGTGAGTGAGGCAGCAGAGATGGGTCTCCTTTCCATTTCCGTTTCCAGAGACTTGGGGAATTAAGAAAAAAATTCTTTAAGTGCCACTTTGATAGTTACTTCACTGCTTAGAACACCTCTTGCTATGAAAGTAATTCTGTTACTTTCAACTTCTTTTGGCTTCGTCCACACCAACCGAGGCACAGTAGTTGGTATTTCCAAGTTGTAGTAATGCATGAAGTCAGCACATCTAAACATACTATTACTCTTAAACCATCCTTCCTCATTCCAACTTTACCTTTCTTCAGAGCAAACTGACACAAGGGTTCTCAGTGTTCGCCTCTTTCTCCCACCCCACAGTGGGTCCTATGGAATCAGCATTCATGCTATCTCTGTATTTTTCTCTACTTTGTATTTTTAGCTTTTCTAGAATCACTATTTTTTTCACCCATTCACGACACTTGCTCTCATTCTTCTGGATAAATGTCCAGAAGTAGGATGGCTGGATCATATGGCAGTTCTATTTTTTAATTTTTTGAGGAAACTTCATACTGTTTTCCATAGTGGTTTCACCTTTTTTGCATTTCCAAGACAGTGTGTGAGGCTTCAATTTCTCCTCATCCTTACCAACCTTTGTTATTTTTTGTTTTTTTATAACAGCCATCCAGACAGATTTGAGATGATATCTCACTGTGGTTTTGAGTTGTATTTCCATGACGATTAGAAAATATGTAGTGAATGCTCATTCTCTGCAGACATTTTACCTAGTGCTAAGGATACAGCAGTTAACACAATAGACAGCTTGCTTCCTCTGACAAAGGATTTGGCATGTTCTAGACTCATCCCTTTTAGCAATAATTTCATAGAAAGAGAAGCCTTTCTTTTCTTTGCATTTATTTTTTAATTTAATTTCCTTGCATTTTTTTATTGTCGTTCAAGTACAGTTGTCTCCATTTTCCTGCCACCACTCTACCCCGCCCCACCCACCCCCACCTCCCACCCTCAAACCTTCCCCCCACCCCATTGTCTTTGTCCTTTATACGTGGTCCTTGCCGACCCTTCCCCTTCTTTCCCCCATTATCACCCTCCCCCCTCCCTTCTAGTTACTGTCAGTTCTTTATATCGGTGTCTCTGGTTACATTTTCCTTGCTTGTTTGCTCTGTTGATCAGGCTCCACTTATAGGTGTGATCATATGGTATTTATCTTTCACCATCTGGCTTATTTTACTTAGCATAATGCTTTTCAGTTCCACCCATGCTGTTGTAAAGGGTAGTAGCTCTTTCTTTCTGCTGCGTAGTATTCCATTGTGTAAATGTACCATAGTTTTTGATCCACTCACGTACTGTTGGGCACTTAGGTTGCTTCCCATATGTGGCTATTGAAAATTGTGCTGCTAAGAACATTGGGGTGCATAGGTTCTTTTGAATTGGTGTTTTGGGATTCTTAGGGTATAATCCCTGCAGTGGAATTGCTGGGTCAAAAGGCAGTTCCATTTTTAGTGTTTTGAGGAAATTCCGTACTGTTTTCCACAGTGGCTGCATCAGTCTGCATTCCTCCTGACAGTGGTCTAGGGTTCCTTTTTCTCCACAACCTCACCAGCACTTATTGTTTGTTGATTTGTTTATGATGGCCATTCTGACTGGTGTGAAGTGGTATCTCATTGTGGTTTTAATTTGCATTTCTCTGATGGCTAGCGATGCTGGACATCTTTTCATATGTCCCTGGGCCCTGTGTTTGTCCTTGGAGAAGTGTCTATTCAGGTCCTTTGTCCATTTTTAATTGGGTTGTTTGTCTTCCAGTAGTGGAGTCGTGTGAGTTCTTTTTGTATTTTGGAGGTCATACCCTTGTCCAAGGTATCATTGGCAAATATATTTTACCATACGGTTGGTTCCCTTTTCATTTTGCTGATGTTTTCTTTAGCCATGCAGAAGCTTCTTATTTTAATTAAGTCCCATTTGTTTATTCTTTCCTTTATGTCCCTTGCTCTAGGGAACATATTGATGAAAATATTGCTGTATGGAATATCTGAGAGATTCCTACCTGCGTTCTTCTCTACAACTTTTATGGTGTCACAGCTTATATTTAAGTCTTTTATCCATCTTGAGTTTTTTTTTTTGTATATGGTGTAAGTTGGTGGTTGAGATTTTTGGGGTTTTTTTTGCATATAGCTGTCCAGATCTCCCAACACCATTTGTTGAAGAGGCTATTTTTATTCCATTTTATGCTTCTGCTTCCTTTGTCAAATATTAATTAACTGTAGATATATAGGTTTATTTCTGGGGTCTCTATTCTGTTCCATTAACTATGCATCTATTCTTACACCAGTACCAGACTGTTTTGATTACAGTGGCCTTGTAATATAGTTTGATGTCAGGTATTATGATCCCTCCTCCTTTGTTATTCTTTCTCAAAATTGCTGCCGCTGTCCTGGGTCATTTATCGCCCCATATAAATTTTTCAAATGTTTGCTCTCTATATGTGAAATATATCACTAGTATTTTAATAGGGATTGCATTGAATCTATAAATTGCTTTGGGTAGAGAAATATCTCTCAAGTAGCCAGATCTAAAGAACAACTCTAAATATGTAGGTATGGCTGATATCAATCCACTTTTCATTAAAATATAATTACTTTCCATTTTATGCATTCTCTCATTTGCTGTAAAATGAAAATTGTGATATTAAAGAGACCTAATTATCGCTGGAAAAGATGGATGATTTTTGGAGTATAATTTACATCTTTACATTTCCTGGTTGTTGTGTAGTTTAGTTACTGTATTTTCCAAAGTTTTGAGATTTTTCTGTTTAGTTTTCTGCTTTTCTCATATCATCTATCATTTCTATGAGTGTGGCCACTCACATTCCAAAAAAAGCATCATAACAACTGGAAGAATGGGTTTTTCATGTTCTTCATCTTCTGATACTTTTCCAGCTATTTGAATTTCAAATCTTTACAAGAAGACTTCTTAACACAGTAACTACAGATGCCTGGTGGCTGAGGATAATCTGCATTGCTATTTTACATAACAAGTCAATAAATAATCCAGAATACCTTTGAGAGAGATTAAAAAGTATAATGCCCGAAAGCTTATTATATTTTCAATGCTTCCATTAAAAGTAAAGTAGGTCAGATAGACCTCACAATTAGAAAGTTACTCAAAGGTATTACTCAAGGATTATCTGGTAGCATTATAAAGTTATGGATTTCACCTTACGGTTCTGGCATTTTTAGAATTTATGTTCAGCAAATATCTTATCAGGCACACCTTACCTCTTTACAGTCATTCTCATGTATAAGTTACCAATCCATTTTCTGTTACTTGAGTAGCAGAAATCATATTTCTGAGAAGTATGAATTCTAAATCCTCCTTTCCTTATTTGGTGAACAAGAAAAAAATATACACAGCAGGTCCATAAAACTAACATTCACATCAAAGCCATAATTGTGATTCATCTAATGTGTACATTAATGGATTCCTATCAGGGTGGTAGTTTAAACTGTCTCATTCTATGATTTTGTTTTTATTAACAAAATGCATTCTCCCATCCCCCTGAGTCACGCTGAGTGTAACCCCGAACCCCGTTCTTCTCCCGGAGCGCAGCCATGAGGCTCTGCACGGAGGAGTGCAGGGTCCTGGGACACTCGGACCAGTGCTGGATGCCGCCGCTGCCCTCGCCCTCCTCCGACTACCGCAGCAACATGTTCATCCCGGGGGAAGAGTTCCCAGCGCAGCCCCAGCAGCAGCACCCGCACCCGGGGCTGGACGAGGACGCCCAGCCTGGGGATGCCGGCGAGAAGAAGAAGAGTTTCTCCACCTTTGGGAAGGACTCCCCGAACGAGGAGGACGCGGGGGACAAAAGCACATCCTCGCTGCTCTCGGAGATGAGCAGCGTGTTCCAGCGCCTCCTGCCCCCGTCCCTGGACACCTACGCCGAGGGCAGTGAGGCGGATCGGTCCAACTCCCTGGAGCGCAGGAAGGGGCCTTTGCCGGCCAAGGCCGCGGGCTACCCGCCGGGCGTGGCGGCCTGGGCGGCCAGCACGCACTTCCAGAACCCCGCGGCCAGCCCCGCGCCCGCCCTGGGGGCCCACCCCGGGGCACAGCCCTCGTCCAAGTGGCTGCCGGCCATGGAGGAGATCCCCGAAAATTACGAAGAAGACGACTTTGACAACGTACTCAACCACCTCAACGATGGGAAACACGAACTCATGGACGCCAGTGAGCTGGTGGCCGAGATTAACAAGCTGCTCCAAGACGTGCGCCAGAGCTAGGAGACTTGAGAAGCGTTTTTTGTTTCCATATGTGTGGAAATGGGGGACAGAGAAAACCCTGAAAGAACGGGCATTGCCAAATCGTTGCATTTATCATAAATGTGTCTGTGTATATTGAATATTAAATACTGTATTTTCGTATGTACACAATGCAAGTGTGATTATTTTAATCTGTATTTTAAAAATACATTTGTACCTTATATTTATGTGTAATTTAACAGACAAATTTTATTTTTTTACTCCCATGACAAACATGTCTTTCCTAATCATGTAGAACATAGCCACTGTTCAATTCTGATATACTATTCAACCAGAAAATACAAAGGCACTGCTTAGATGAGTTACGTTGGGGAAGAAAGTGTTATGCCGTAGGATCAGCCCCACTAAAGCATTATAGAGTTCTCACTTCTATTAAGGCACCCAACTTTTTCTCCAATACTTTTTAAATTAAGCATCAATAAAAATGTTAAACTATTTTATTATGGTTGTTGTTATTATTTTTACTGCTCTCTGCTAGTTCAATCATTCAACTGTTGCAGCAAAATTGAAACACGAGGTGAAATTCTACGTCCAAGCTGGGCTGTCTCTCTCTCACAGTCAATGGTGAAAATAGGGCTCGAGTCATTTTTTTCCCAACTCCCAGGCCCCTGCCGTTCCAGGGGCTCGCCCTGGCCTGTTCTTGAGAATGTTTCTCCTAAAGTATTGTCTATTTATAATCAAGGTAAACAAAGAATTTCATTCCACCCTTGTAACAGGAGATGCGCCCCCAGGAAATGGAATCCGTCCTTTAAATGGATAACAGTATGCATTCTAACAGCATGAAGTATTAATGGACAAAGACAATTATGTCAGTATCCCTCCCGGGGTAGTAAATATAATCGATTTATGCTGAAACTGTTCTGTTTGAATCTTCCCTCTCCTCACACAATACTTGAACATTTTTATCTTTGCAATATTTTTTTTTTGCTATAAGTATTCACTTTTAGCTTTTGTCTCCAGTGCATGATCTCATATTTTTGCTTTTATATTTAGTATAAGAACATTTATAAAATTACGTTTTTGCTATTGCAGTTCTGTTTTATTTGTTGTGTGACAAATGTCAAATTCTTTATTTATTGTGCTGTTATCTCTCTGTGTGGAATGCTTTGGTAAGGAGGTCGTTATTCTGACTGTTCTCATTTATGACCAAGCTTCTATTAATGTTATTTCTATGAATACACTATCTTGATTGTACTCTCCAGAAAATATTACTGTCGATGAAAATAAAAGAAAAATTAAAGTAAAGCTAAAGTACTGTCCATAAATCAGTCCTGTTCCTATATATGTGTTCAAAAGCTTTGCATGAAGCATATCCTTCATGAAAAGATAATGCGGGGTTAAGGTTTGAAGGATAAGGAGGGGACCATTCAGCTGGCTCGGCAAACAGGAAAAACACAACGGCGAAGGCATGAATCTGGGACTTGTAAGGAAAATGAGAAGAATCTACAATATTCCCAGTAGATTAAATAGTTTCGATGCCTTTGAAGTATAAAGAATATGGAATAATCAAATAATAACTGCTTTACCGTTTTTTTTAAATTAAAAAAAAAAACTTTCTCAGAACATTTTGTATTAAGTTGCTTCCGGGGGGGAAAAAAAGGTACCCTTGCAATGTGTCTGTTTTCCTCTACCCTCGAAGCTCTTTCAGCTGGTCTAATAACTAAATCTATATGAGGTTGATTAACAGGAGAAAATAAGCAAATTTAATTACATACGTAGGCATGGGAGCCCCATACGCGTGGTAGGTTCAGAGAAAGGGAAAATGCGGCATATATGACATCGCGAGCTCCAGATGAGGCCAGGCTCCCCGGGGCGCCAGGGGGTCCATGGCAGCATGATAAGAAAAACACACGTCCTGTAATTAGCAGTTTGCCCTGCCATAGAGACAGGTCCAAATCTAGGTTGTATCTGATAATCTCTTGTTATGGGAAAGGCCTCTAATTCAAATTCTGCCAGGTAGTTGCAGGAGAGGGGCGGATGTGTTTCTTTTGAGCCCTCGGGGCCTCAGTTGCCTTTAGCTGAAAATAATCCACGTACCACAGAGGAGCATCTTGGGGTGACTCCTTCGGAACCTCTGCATTTCCAAGGGGTGGAAATATTACCCTCCTTGGTTTACTGGTGGGGAGTTGAAACACCGGGGAAGTAGAATATCCTAAAAATGCCTAACTCGGATATTTTAATTCTTAAGCGACTACCAACCACATCAAATAGATGTGGTATGTCTTTCAAAAGACATACCCTTTACTGGAGGGGCTGCAGTTTCAAGTGAAGTTTCAGTTTATTTTTCAGTACATTACACGCACAAATGCTAACCACATTTAAAAACATTCTGCTTTTCAAATTCACTCTTTTGGCACACCTTATCGTTAAGAAAAAGACTTTTATAATTTCATTGTTCTTAAAGCACCAACAGCAATTTAGGAAGCAAAGCTGGAAATCAGTGTTTACGCGAAGCACATAGAATGCAGTATTATTGCAACACAAAAACTCTGTGCCCCGATTGTGCAGTAAATACTCCATGTCTCACACTCCCTGCTTCTCCTTCCTTCTCTACTTCTTCTTATTGCTTTCCATGCCTACAGGTCAAGGGATATCAGCGTAAGATTTTTGCTTTTCACTACTGCTTCTTTCACAGGTAATATCATCTCAGAGAAAGCGGGAAGGTTTGTGCTGTCATAGCAACCTAACCTCTCTTCCAGTTTGCGTTTCCGCTTCTTTGATATCCGGCCCTTCCTCAGCTTCAGACAATCAAAAAGCACTTCAATGAAAGAGATTCTTGTCTCCATTCATTATTTCTTACTCCCTTTGTCCCCATTCAATTCCTATAAGTGTTCTTCAATAATAATAATCTATTAAGGGACTCATCTTCCAAAAAATGTAATTCAACACTCCATCTGTTGCTTGGCAAATTTTGCTTTTAAGTGCTTGTTTATAGGATGATTAGAACTGGCTTTCTTCAAATTCTTATAAGTTATTAACATGATTATTTTATCATTTCTTTCTTTCTTAGTATTTAGCAGATGGGGCTTATAACTTTGTTAATCACTTAAATTCTTCTACCTGCTGTCACAGATATGTCAAATTTACCACTTACGAACAGATAACTGTTAAGACAAAAGATGGTAAGGCACTGTCCTGTTGGTGTCACTGAAGAAGTCTCATTGGTGGAAACCAGCTTAGCTTCTTTGCTTTGTTCTTTTGTTACCAACTAATGTCAGAAAATAAGCTGAGTATAAATTACTGACACATTAAAATTCAACAAAGTGTGACTATGTAAAAATCAGCTGCATGGGTGAAAAAAGGCATTGCTTGACATAGCAACTCCCCATCATCCATGAACTTATAGAACTGACCCAAAACAGTTCAGGGAATTTGCCAAATTACTAAAAAGATTTTGATGTTTCCGTTCTAATTCACTATACCTTGAATTAGCAGTATCACATCATAATATCAAAGATTAGAGACACAATGAACTTTGAATAGGCAGTAAAGTGTCATATAAAATTAAATTCAAGCCATACGAAAGTTTTAAAAATTTATGTTGAGTTTTAAAAACATTAAAAACAGTATAGGTTTTTCAAAAGAGCCAGCAGATTGACTTCCTTAATTGCAGGTTAAATTTATCTTGCATGTATAAGCTGCCTCATGTATTGTGAGAGTGTAAGACGCCATACTGATTGTAGTTATTTAATATATTAGGATGTCTCTAGCTGTGAATGATAGAAGTAATTCTCAATGGCTACATAAAGTTTTAATTTAATACATTAGGCCGATTGGGCCACTGAAGAGCCAAATCATTCAGTTTATAGAACAAAAAGTAAGTCACTTTTTTGGAAATAACTTAATGATATCTAAAGTGCTACATTGCAATTGTGAAAATGTTATTTCCCAAATTGTGCTTTCATTCTTCATGTGTGTAACTGGGCTTCTAGTGAAGTATACACATACGGTACACCAGAAGTAATAGGATCCTTCATATAATCTAAACTAAAAAATTGTTGAATAGATAGACACAGCATAATAGATCTGAGCATGAGTGTGTGCTTTATATTTTTATTGTACTCTAGCTTATACAACTTGTGGAGCTCTTACAAAAATTATATGGGGAGCTGGCACTGCAAAAATTGCTACTAAAATTTACATACTTCCTGACTTTTAAAATTGCAATACCACATTCTACCCTGCTACTCTAAAATAATAGTTTTCTATTTCCTTTTATGACTTTTGCAAGTTGCTCCTAATTCTTATTTGCTTTTTTCAGATTTTATCTCCTCTATTTATTTATTTTATGGTACTCCTCCTTGGTCGTTTATCCAACTGTCCACATTTTACAGCATTCCTTTCCAAGTTTTTGCATGTGTATAGTACTTTATATAACCGCCTAGATTTTATGATTTTTGGCATATTTTCTTTGTTATTAGGATAACAGGGATCATATTCTTGAGATATGAAGCTAATACCTTTTCAATCTCACTGCCATTGGATGGGATGCAGAAGGTTCCGATGCTTTTCCTTGCCCAAATGGGAAGTGGCTCATATTATAAACTGTATTACATTTCAAAGTGCTTTTATCTAAATAAAGACAGGCTTTCTAAAAAGCCCCAGGTACATTTTTGTTTCATTAAAAGGTGCATTCTGCAGCTTAAAATAACTAACCACAAACTATCCTAGGCAGAGGAAGCACAGAATTTCCTTTGGAAGTAGACCTTTGTGTTAGAGTTTTAGGTTCCAAATAATCTACATAACTTCCAGTAAATCTTGTTACATGAGATGTGACAAATCCAAAAAATGCAATCAGCAGTGTTTCCTGAATTCTAAAGGGAAGAACAGGTTGCCAGCCCCTGCCTCCCTGCTTGGATCTCTTCTGCAAACTGATGCCCAGAGGCTGTCAGTGGGGAGACAGTGAGGAGTGGGTTTTGTGAACCGCCCCTGCACATTGTCAGTAATTGCTGAGAGTGTGTGGTTGCCAATACATGAAAATGAATAACATTGTAAGAAAAGTTTTCCATAAAGACTGACCACTGCAACTAGTTTAGACCTTTGCTACTTTTTCTCCCTTCCCTTTCTCGTTGCTGGCAGCTGAGTAGAGGGGCAGCAGATACAACATTCCTTTATCCAACAAATATTTATTGTGCACTTCCTATCAGACGATAGAGCAGGCACTGTGTTATGTGTTTGAGATACAGTGGTGAACGAAACAGACAAAGAAAGAGATGAAGACCACGACACATCTATTAGCATGGCCAAAGTCCTGAACACTGACAATGCATGATACTGACGAAGATGTGGGGCAACAGGAACTCTCACGCATTGCTGGTGGGAATCTAAAATGATACAGCCATCCTGGAAGACACTCGGCAGTTTCTTACAAAACTAAACATAGTCTTACCCAGCGGTGGTGCTCCTTGG